CGGATTGTTCACATCTCCAGCCTGTGCCTCATTATAGAGTCAACCCTCAAGGCCAACGTCCTAATGACTTATGGCAAATAAATGTAACTCATATACCTAAATTTAAAAAATTAAAACATGTTCATGTCTCCATTGATACCTTTTCAGGATTTGTTGTGGCCACAGCTCAAACTGGTAAAACTACATCCCATGTTATTAGGCATTGTCTTGCTGCATTTGCCATGATTGGAACTCCAAAAAAACTTAAAACAGAAAATGGCTCCGGTTATACCAACAAAAAATGTTCTCTATTTTGCCAGCAATTTTCGATCAATCATGTTACTGACATTCCTTACAATTCCCAAGGACAAGGGATTGTTGAGCGCACTCATGGCACTTTGAAAGTCAATTTGCAAAAAATAAAAAAGGGGGAGTTATATCCCCTGACGCCTCATAATTATCTGTCTCATTCTCTCTTTATTCAGATTTTTTTTGCCTTAGATGCCCATGGCAAGAGTGCTGCGGAGCGCTTTTGGCATCCTTCTACTGCCCCTCAGGCTTTGGTCAAATGGAGAGATCCACTTACGGGCTCTTGGCAAGGCCCAGATCCAGTCCTCGTGGGGGGACGAGAACATGTATGTGTTTTTCCACAGGATGCAAAAGGCCCCCGGTGGCTGCCAGAACGATTGGTGCGACATGTGGACCCTCTACCTACTGATGAAGCTGATGGCTCTCAGCAATGCAGGAGACAACCAGACGTATTGGGCCTATGTACCTAATCCACCAATCCTCCACCCCGCTGTGTGGGACGGTCCTGAGGTTCCAGTCTATGTTAATGATACCCATGCCTTAGGACTGCCCTCTGATGGACACATAAAACAGCAACTGGAAAAGAATTTCACTTATAATGGTATAGGAACAGGTTTGCCTATTTGTATTGCAAAAAATGTCAACATCTGGGTACTTGCATGGTTCTCCTGTCACTATGCACATTAATGACTCTTTAGTTGGATGGACTGTTCGTCTTAACATGCTAGGCGATTGGTCCGGAGGACGCAAGATAAATCTGCCCATCCCTCCATCGCGTCCATCTTGCAATAAAAGATTGAAATTGGACACTGAGACTGTCCCATGGAGAGACTGTCCTGGCAACGATCCTGTTCGTTACGGCATCCCTGGGACAGGCAGATACATCATCGACTGGTCAAGAAGCAACCAGTCAGGATGGGCCCGAGGACTGACTTCTGGACTTTAAAATTCTGACACGCAACATCAGCAAAACTCATTATGGAGACTTATGGGAGTAATGGATGAGGTTGTTCAAATGGTTGAGTTCTGTAAATCAGACACTCCCTACAGTCATGTGAATGTCTTAAAAGATGGGACTAGAGATTAAACTACTGTTGCTAAAACTGTTAATGTATCTACTTGTGTTCCTTCCCCTTATGCACTCTTGATTGGAAATGTTACTGTACACTTTATAGGAAATCAATTTAATGTATCTTGTAGTAATTGTTATTTAACAAATTGTATTTCTTGGGTACCATTAAAAACTCATGTTATGATACTTAAGCAACCATCTTTTGTTATGCTTCCTGTTAATATTTCTGGACCTTGGTATGCTAAAAGAAGTTTGCAAATCTTCAAAAAAATTGAGCATGCTTTGAGTGGAGCAAAACGGTTTATTGGACTTCTAATTACAGGAATTATGGCTTTGGTTACTATAATTGCAACTGCTGCTACAGCAGCCGCGGCTCTTTCTCAGACTATTCAAAATGCTCATTATGTTAATACTCTTTCTAAAAATGTTACTTTAGCTTTAGGGACCCAAAAAATTATTAATGAAAAATTGGAGCAAAAGATAAATGCCCTTTATGATACGGTTCAGTATATGGGAGATGTGATTCAGGGTATAAAAGTTAGATCTCATTTAAAATGTCATCCAAAATATCATTAAATATGTGTTACTTCTAAAAAATATAATAATAGTCAATATAATTGGAATCGGGTTTGTTTACATCTTCAAAAAATTTGGCATGATGCTAACTTATCTTTAGACATGCTCCGGCTTCATGATAAAATCCAAAATATAAAAAAAACTAAACCCTTAAAATTTGATACAACTCAGACTGCTTCTAAATTTGTTGATGTTCTTAGGAATGTTTTGCCCTCTATGCCTCATATTGCCCATTCTGTTATGACATTCCTTACATTGGGCATCTGTGTCTGTCTGGTTCTGTGCCTACTCCCCATCCTCATTAGATGTTTCATCAGCAGGATGTTAAACTTACCAGCTAACATCCATCAGCTTGAGCTTAAGGCGAAGCCTTAAGCCTCTCACCCCTGTACATTAAGAAAAACGGGTTAGTCAACGACAGGTAAGTACTTGGGAGCCGCTTCAACACCTAAAACAGGGCTTGTATGATGGAATATGAGTACCAAAAACGGGTAAGTTGAGGCGGGCGTCCTGGGACACCTAAAACAGACACCGTCACCTCGCCATCCTGGCCGGATGGATTTTGTTCCTATAAAATAAAAAAGGGGGAGATGTGGGGAGCCATGGTTACAGGTAATTCAGAGCCTTACAGACTGGCTCGGTTAATGCTTAACCTGTTTTTGCTCCTAAGGCATTGTCTCTGCCTGCACCTGGAGGGTGCTTACAAGTTGCTGAGGTATGTGGTGAGAACGGCCAGCTCCCGGACACAGAGGATTGATGGCTATCGGGGTAATTGGTAGATTCTGTCATGGGATAATTACTTTTGGGAGTTTTAGTGATTTTATAGTTTCTATGTAAAAGTTAAAGATTTACTTTCGCTGAGGTAATGCATATCTTCATTGTTAAACTACACGTACTCAAACTGCATATATTGGTAATGGGAAATAAACTCAGGGCTTCAGCATCACTAACCGGCCGCATCAGCATTTGTGTGAGTGTCTTTTTATCCATTCCCACTCCCCCATTTAAGTACTAATCAACTCATGGCAGCTGGCCCGCCATACTTCTCCTACCAGAACGGAGCAGGTCCCTGCACTCTTCTGATGGAGCAGATCCTGAAATTCGGGAGCCTGGACACCGTTCCTGCAGCAGGGCGATCGCTCCTGGGGGGCTGTCCCTGAGCACCCCGCTGAAGACACCCTCCCCACCCGCTGTGCTCGAGTTCTCCTCCTCCATCATCTCTCCACTGCACGTGTCGCTGTCTGAAACAATCTGGGTTATTCACTTGTACACATGCATGGTTTGTGTCCCTTCGGTTAGAGTGAGCTGCGTGAGCACAGGACAGCTGCTGTCTCGTTCTTCACGGAATCCCTCTTTCCTAGTGCGCTGGGTGGTACAGTCGATACTCAATGAATGTCACTGAATGAAGGACATGCCACATCCAAAAGGGGCAGAGAGTGGAGAACTCAAGAAAAACAGTCAGTGAAAGGTGTGGCCTCACTTCCAGTTTTATTCACCAAGTAAACATTTACTGAGCACCTACTGAATGCTGCCCCCAAGCTTCAAATCAAGAAGTGGTTCGTTCTCACCAAATACAGAGGGTGCCACAAAAATGTATACACATTTTAAGAAAGGAAAAAAGTATTAAAATTGTAATACAAGGAATGACGCTGGCATTCATTTGATTCATGCCATCTTTTGAGTGTACGTCATACTGCACATTGCTACGTAATTCAATTCAACTTCGAAAAGCAATACATAAGATAACAACCCTTCAAAATGTGTATACATTTTTGTGGCACCCCCGGTAGTGAGATATCCCATGGTCAGCCATTGATTAAGGCTCAGCCAGAGACTTTTATACCCTGTAATCATTTCATCTCTTCACACACTTTTAAGTTCCCGTTCCTCTCTGCCCACCCCTATACATATCCTTCTTGCCTCAACTTGAATATAATTGCCTCAGACAGGTTATTATTTGGTTAATGGCTATTTTGCTCATTAAGACTAAAAGCTCCATGAAGGAAGAAATACTATTTCCCCCAAACTGTATACCCAACACCATTTTAGCACATATTAGTTGTTTTATAAATAGTTCTTGAGCTGATCAGTAAATCCTTTTATTTACCCATAGCTCTTGGGTAAAGCACTGTGCACGTCTAAAGCCCCTCTCAGCAGGCTGAACTCCTGAAGCTGGTTTACAGTGGAAACAGTCATGACTGCTGAGGCCAGGTCGTGTCAGCTTGGTCACGCGTAGGCGACAGTGTTGGACAAGTCTGAGTTTCCCTCCTCATCTATAAAGTCAGAGACTGAACTAGATAACCCTGAAGGCTCCTTCCAGGACCGTAACTGACCTACTGACTATTAAAGAACAGGTTAGCAAGGATGATGGTACCTCTGAGACTGCATGACCAGGCTCTAAATCATTTATGCTTCCTGTGGAGCATGAGCTTCGGCTACAAGAAAAGGGCACAAATCATGGTCCCAGTTCCATCTTACCTGTGAGGCTTCATCAGCATTGTAGTGCCCCAGCGAGGCTGACAGCACCAAACTAACGTCCACTAAGTTAATACTGGGACTCAAACAGAAGACTACAGCGAGTCCCTCTAAACCTCTGAGACAGCCAAACCATGATGTGTGAAACATTATGTCAGGGCCGGCCGAGTGGCGTGTTGGTTAAGAGTCGGCTTGGGACGCCAGCTCTGAGCAGCAGGGCCCCGGTTCGGATCCCACATGAGGGCCAGTGATGCTGCGCCCTCTACAGCTAAGATGATGAACAACAGCTCGACCTGGAGCTGGGCTACCATGAGTCGCCTGTGACAGCGTAGGCTGCGGTGGGGCTGCAGTGGGCTCCCGTAAGCTACTGTGAGTGGCCGGCAGCCAGTGTGAGCTGCCGTCCAGTAGCCGGTGACTGATCTGCCTCACCCGGGAAGATCGCAATGATAATACCAACATGGGCCAGTGAAGCGCCGTCCTCCACAACTTTTGTTTGAAGAACAAAAGGACAGCAACTTGTCTGTTCCCCTTCCCCCAATTCCCCAGTGAAATCTTTAAAAAAAAAAAAACATTACATCAAAGTCTTTACCTTGATTCGAGGCATAGTAACTGTAGGTGGCTTTGCTTCGGCCACAAAACTGTGAGATGCTCCTTTTTCCACGAGATAAGTTGTGTAGGGCATAAATTTCACACCTTTTGACCCAAACACAAAATCATCTCTCAAGGCATCTATCAGCATAATAACAACTTTACTGAAGAGAGGTGGTGGGAGCTTGGTCCAGTTGGAATTGGCTCCTAAAAGTGTTTGAAAGAAAAAAGGAAATTTAACTTTAAACTTTTATTTAGCATTTGAGTACCTTATAATCTAATTTCTGCCTACTGCTCCAGCACATATGCTGTCATATCTAAATATAACAACACAAAGAAAAGGGCGGGTTCTTGGTACACAGCGCGGGGCGGGGGTGGGGGGCATCGAGCAGGCTCAGGAACCCCCAGTATAAATTGCTCTTGGCACGGTGAGGAGTACGCGGGCAGGTCCTGGGATGGGAGGTATGTTCACACGGTCGGGGGCTGACACTGTGGGGACCTGGTCCGAAATGGGAGTACCGTTACCTGTTACGTGTCGCTGGGTATCGAGGCTGGGAAGGGGTCTATGCAGGGAGGTCTTAAGGGGTTAAAAAGGGCTCTTGGAGGGATGTCATAGGAAAAAAACAAGGGGTCGGCACGCATCTGATCTGTTGTGACTCGCTGAGCAAAAAGGACGCTGGAAACTCAAGGCCGGCTCAGGGCGGGGCCGGCGGCCGCAGGGGGAGCGGCGCTGGGAGGCGGGGGCCGGTGTGGAGCAGCCTCGCCCGTGACCAGGGAGGTGGGTCGAAGCCGGACTCACAGCGGCGGTTGCCACAAAGTTGCAGGATACAGAAAAAAAAAAAGGCTGAGCGGGAAGAAGGGGGTGCGTATCACGAGTGTGGGGACCCGAGCGGCAGAGGAGGCTCCCGAAGCTCCGGGAAGAGGTGCGCGAAGCGGGGCTCGGGGAGGCTCGTGGGGGCGAAAGCGGACCCTGGGAGACTCCGGCAAGGGGTCCGTACCAGCCGCGGGCTCAGGCGCTGGCGGCTCTGCCGGGTGCTCGGTCTCGGAGGAGGAACGCACGGGAGCCGGGAAGAATCCCCGAAGGAAGAGCGCGACCCCGAGCACCTCGATCGCTACGCAGAACGCGGCGAAGGTCCCCGCGCCCAGCCGCATGGCGCCCGCCCCCGGGCGGGGACCCCGGCTCCTGGCGGCCGGACGCTCGCCCAGGGCAGCGGCTTCCGGCTCCGGGGAACGGCCTCCGAGCAAGCGCGAACCGGCGGACCTGACAGGTGCCGCCTCTCCCGGTCGCGACTCGGCGGCGCACCGGAAATACGCACGAAAGGGGCGGGGCTCTGAGGCTCCTCGCCCGTATTTCCGGCGCGAGCTCCGGCCCGCCCGCCTCACGTCAAAACTCTGATTGTTCTCACTGGTGTTTCCCAGGTACGGAATGTGGCGCCCTTCCGTTTGTTAGGGTTCCGGCGAAGGTGGTGTGAGGGCGACGTGCTGTCGGCGTTAGAAACGTCCAAACCTGTAGGATGAATTTTGAGCCAAACTGACAATTGCCGGGAAGCAGAATCTCAACCAATTGAGAAAATGCTCCAAAGAACGGCAGTTTTGTAGATTATTTTATACATTGGAATCAAAGGAGAAGACGTAAGGGGGTTACATGGAATCCATTGGTGGTAGGTTAAGGGGGTGGGAGAAGCAAAGTGGGGGATCCCAGGGATTGGATAAGAAGTAAAACAGAGACACTTCTTTCACATCGGTGGGTACAGGACAGTTAATAACATTTACAGCACATGGAGATAGTATTCGGGGGACAAGAGAACCAGGAGGGGTTCTGTGGCCTCCTGCTCTGGTGGGAGGTTGTGCCCTGAGGGGTCTCGAAAAGGAAATGACTGACATTTTAAGGTGTGTTATCTTAGATGCACAAGACAATAGATAATTTCAAAGGTAAAGACCTTCGTCGGAAGCTACGGGCCTAGGACCTTACTACCCGCCATGACCCACTTCTGGAGGGTTAGGGACTTTTATATTCAGACTCCGTGTGGTTACTTTGGTCTCTGGGTTTGTAAGGCCCGCCATGCAGGCCTCGCCTGAGCTTGCCAGCTTTCGTATGTGGCCCCTTTTTCAGCCACAGTGTGGAAAGGTGCGGAAAAGTGAGAGTAGAGGCAGAAAGGTACAGGAAAGCTCCTGTGGTGCCCAGCAGCAGGGGTGGCTTCCGTGCCCAGGGAGGGGCTGAGTGTGGACAGTGGCATCTGAGCATCAAGCCCGGGACCCAGTCACCGCACACCAAGACGCCATGGTTTTCTAAAGGCCTCTAGTGCCAGGCAGACACTGGGCCTCATGACTGTGCCCACCACGTTCCACGTCCCTATAGATAGACATGGTTGTTCCCGGAAGTATTTATTTCCCAGTAATTTTGAACACATAGAAAACCAACAGCAGTAGCCCAAAATCATCCAGTTTCCCAGCTGTCCTTGCTTTACCACATTTGCCACCTCACACAAAGTGCTGCAGGATGGTTTGCCCCAAATAGGGACGCTTCCAAAGAATGGCCACAAAGTCCCAAATGCAAACATTGGTGGGGTCTCTGTATCATAACCCACCTGTCACGTCCAGCGTGGCAAGGGCAAATGGGTTTCTCTTGAGGGGCGGCGCAGATTGAATAAAGAGACAGAGACAGAAGTAAGGTTTAAAGCGAGACCAAGGGACTCAGTCAGAGAAAACTGAGCCCCGAATCGGGTCAGCGCATGGCTTTTAATTGAGAACTTTCAAAGAAGTAAAACTGCTGTCAATCAAATTAGCATCTGTTTGAGGTCTGTGCCTCAAAGCCTTTTTCATTAACATATCCCATTATATTCCACCATATGCTATGCCTTCACATATCGCCACATAGCCCCAGGACACCTTGTTACTGTGTCCTCCCAGGGGAGATTAACTGTTAGCATTCCAACTCCCCAGAGGGAGCCTTATAGGCCTCCGGTCACACCGGGGCCCTCCCTCAGAGAGATTACTGCCGGTCATACCAGGCTTTTCTCTCAACTAATGGGATTAGAGACTAAATGCAGGGGAGCCTGTTATAGAAATCGGCTGTCAGGCAACACCCACCTCAGGCCCACCTCATCTTTCACACCTGCCCCAACTGTGTGAAGTGTGTTTTTCCAGTCAGATCTAGTCTTCCTATAACTGTCCCTGAGACTGACCCTCATTTTCACACATTGATCAATGTGAAGGGCACAGAAGACACCAACTTGGGTCTGCCTAATGTCTCCTGTTCAGACTCAGGCCTGCATTTCTGGCAGGAACACTAGCCTGATGCTGTGATCTCTCCGGGACCCCCACGGGACTCCCACGGGACCCCCCACCACGTGCCCTTAACATGACACACAACTCCACGTGACTTTCACATGACCCTGCATGATTTCTACTTGACCCTGTGACCCCGGCATGACTCCCACATGATCTCTGCATGACCCCAACATGAGCCCCAGTGACATCCAGGTGACCGTCCACATGAACCCACGTGACTACCAGATGTAGGAGCAACTGTGACTCCCAACAGGACGTTTCACACTGACCCACATGGAGTGGGAGCGCCACATGCATCCACGGTCCGGCTCCTGCTGGTAGCCGGAGATTCCATGTAATGGAATAATCCTCGATCCTCCCACCGCTTCACTGAGCAAGAGTTTCTTTACCACCAGAGCCTTCCTCCGCTCCTTACAAAGAGGAGAGCAGAAACAGGAAATGGGCCACTTTGTTCTTCTTCGGAACGGCTGACTAATGTGTGTGTATGGGGGGGGGGCGTTACTCTTGGACCCTCACCTCCCAGGGACACAAAGGAGGTCTGTGTGCCTCCCAGGGCCCATGGACTATCCGGGGTGGTGTCAGAAATGTGAGGACCCAAAGCCCAAGGCAGGAGCCTGAACTTGACTACCAATATCGTTGCTTTTCCAGCAAGCGGTAGCGCTGCCATGTGGGAGACAGCAAGAGCACTCACTGGACAGGCTCTGCAGCCCCAACCCTCTGAACCCTGTTCCATGGGCTTCAGATCCCTCAGCTGTGCAGTGGGCCGTCAGTGACCCTGTGAACCCTCCTCCGTGGGCTTCAGATCCTCTGTGGGCTTCAGAAGTGGGCTGTCTGTGACATGGAACCTGTTGTTCTCCTTGACCCAGCGTACGTCCTCGGGCCCAAGTCCAGCACCTCAGTTTCCTTTGGGAACTCATCTCGTCTGCTTCTAGTCCATACAGTTCCAGAGGACTGACCCCACATCTACCAAACCCCACCACCCATCCTCTGGATGCTCTGATGGGTTCAAGGATGAGAATGTGACCCACGCCAGGCCAAAGACATTATAAAGCTTTGACTTTTCATGGAATGCAAGGGAAGGAGAAACTCTCCCCATAGAAGGAATGGTGAGTGGGTCAGCCTGGAGTGGCTGGAGGCCTGGGATGCAGGGAGAGAGACTGTACCTGTGAATGGGGCCACGCGAAGGCGTTTGGCAGGATTGAGGGCTGGGGAGGAACCAGGTCCCACTATGAGAAGGTGACAAGCTGCACCTGCCAGGACCAGACCCACCCTTAAACTTGCCTCTTGCAAATATTAATTTCTTTCTGCCGTTAAAAAATTATTATTTGGGGCCAGCCGAGTGGCTCAGTTGGTTAAGAGCTCGCTCAAGAGTTTGAGCTCTGGGTCGGCCGAGTGGCGCGATGGTTAAAACTTGTTTGGGACGCCAGAGGGCCCCAGTTTGGATCCCACATATGAGGGCCAGTGACACTGCCCTCTACAGCTAAGATGCTGAACAGCAGCTCAACCTGGAGCTGGGCTGCCGTGAGTCGCTGGCGACCGTGTAGGCTGCAGCCCCTGTGGCAGTGGGTTGCCATAGACTACCATATGTAGCCAGCAGCCAGTGTGAGCAGCCAGCAGCCGCTGTGAGTGGCCGTCCAGAAGCCAGTGACTGATCTGTCTCGCCCGGGAAGAGCACAATGATGGTGCCAACTTGGGCCAATGAAGCAACGTCCTCCACAATTAGACTTAAGAACAAAAGGACAGCAACTTGTCTGTTCCCCTTCCCCCAATTCCCCAGCACTGTTCCCATCCCCCCAATTCCCCAATAAAAATCTTAAAAAAA